GCACAACCTGCTGCATAAGCTTGCATTGACATAAAACCTCTGTATATCTCTCTCGTATATCTCGTTTAAATGTTGCTTAGTACAGTGTAGTGACAAAGGCTGCACAGAATCCATAATAACCTGGACACCGTGGCAGCGTGGATATAGTCCTGCTGAAACTACGGTGCAACAAACGTAGCGCATACACAGAGACTTATTCTCCTTCGTCAAAGAGGAGCCCCATTTCGAAACACGTATATATCTAGGGGAGAATAAAAATCCTGGCAGTGGTTCTCGAAGAGACTGAAGCCAGGAGTGACTGTGCTGGCGATGACCAGCAGTAATTTAAACAACCGACCGATCATAGGGTTCCTTCCTGCCTATAAATATAAGAAAACTGACAAACATTTTATGTGACCGTCGTCTGTCATGTTTACCCCAAAGTCTCTACATCCATGGAGCAGGGCTCTTCTTGAGAAGAAGATACTCACTCGGCTGGTAAAGCAATGCTCCACATTTTATGAAACCCGAAGTTTCAATACCTTCCTCATAAGAGCCCATCACTGAATTATATTCTGAGCCAATGTATCCAGTTCACGTCCTCACAATCTATATCTTCACAGAACCACTTTAATGTTATCTTATGTTACCTCCAAGTCTGGTTCCTTCCCTTCAGTTTATCGATTAATTTGGGATATTTTGAAATATTCCTATCTGTTCTACTCCCACGTGTTTCTACCATACAATTCTGCTAGAGCTAATTATCCTATTAATATTTGGCGAAATGTACATATTAGGAAGTACCTCCTTAAGTAATTCTCTCTATCCTGCCAATTTATATCTTTTCTGTCCAAATCTTGCCTTCAAATCCCTGTTCTGAAACGTACACCAACAGAGTATGGGCTCGAGGCAGGAATGGCATTGGGATACTGGTATTTCTGTTGCTTGCCGGGATAATATAAGGTCTAGCAGTTATTTGGGGAATATTCAGAGCAAATCACATTATTAATAGGATTGCTGCTGCAAGCATCAGTATTTTGAAACAGCATGAATTTGTTTTCATGCACGCTGAAGTGTCACCTCCGTATCCTCGTTTCTATTGCAAACCGTTTCGGAGTTGTTAAAATAATACACATTAGGAAACAGAACCCCAAAACAGTGGTTTTGCACCAGTCTGCTGAACAGAACTCTTCCCCCCAAAACAAAACTGTTTATTTCAGTAAACATCCATACAAATTCCGGAAAGTTCTATAATGAAATGTATTTAAGTACACCTATATGTCAAATATTAATCGATTTTGGAAACAATAAAAAATAAAGTTGATGCCATATAATTTTGGAAAGAAACTCGATGTAATTTAAATTTCATGTATATAGCGCGTATTCTTCTATTTTATGCATACTTCCTTCAATTTATACGTAATTACTGAGGAGTTTTGGTGGAGAAGGAGGGGGAGGGGGCAAAGACTGTTGTAGGTTACAACATATTTTTCGTATGGGCGCCTGTACATTCTGCAGCACGAACGAGAGAAACAGGAAGATCACCGCATAGCTGTCACGTCAGATGACTGCATCAGGAACTGCGTCCTTGACATCCAGTTGATACAGCTGGAAAAACTAAATCTATTTTTAATCTCCCTGCCGATGTAGAGACTAGATATAAGTTCTGAAAATTTCGAGTCTATGTCAGGTCCTTACACCACACTACTTCGTCCGACAGTTAGTGGGCTTACGGGAGAAGCAAAATAACAAAATGAGCAACTTTATAATCTGAAATAATCACCAGACAGCGTTAGGTCAATCATATCAACACAGCTGAGACTGCGGGGACTATGGAACGTACGTGTCAGACGACGATACAGAGTTTTGGTCGCATAATCTTAAGGGAAGAGATCGTTTTGGAGACCTGTGCAAAGGGTCTGTCAACAGGATCCTCTAGAAACAAGGTATGAGGATGTGGATTCGATTCATCTGACTCAGGATAGACCAGTGGTGGGGCTATTGGGAACCGGTAATGCATTTTATATTTATGGTCTTCTAGTATGTGACGCCGTGTGGTATGTTTCCTGGGTTCTGAACCGAATGCTAGCAAATATTCGCCTGATTCAGTGTGCTCTTCGCCCCACTCTTCCGCAGATGTTTAAATTCTGTCACTAAAGTAATGTGCTACAAGTCGGAAGGTCGCGGGTTCAAATACCGATGAGGTCATTGGATTTTTTTCAATTGACCTAATCCATCCAGCCGCACTATGGCCCTGGGTTCCACTCAGCCTCTAACAAAAATGAGTACCAGGAATTAATAAATAATTTGCCTGGGGAGTAAAGCGCGGCCGGCGCGTAAGGCTGACAACCTTACCGCCATCTTTGAGCAGACTGTCTAGATAATGTGGGACCCTCAACGTCTCACAACCCTATGGCCCTTCACGGCCTGGTACAGGGATAGCTTTAATTTTACTTTACTTACTTCACGCTTTCAGTAGTTCCTGTATTCTTGTATCGGGACATATAGCGTGTTAGTAGCTTTCTCTGCCATTATTTCTAGATCAACCTTCCTACTATCATTCAAATATTGTCTTAAGATGGCTGGTCTTATCTTGCAGAATGTTGGTTTTTTATCTCTTCTTGAGCTTACAAATTCACTACGTACACATTTCGTGTAGGTTATTGGTTTATCTTATGCCTGGTTGTTCAGTGTGTGTCTGTGTTATTGTATTTCATCCTTACGCGATTGTTTTACATCTTGTTATCCGTGGTCTATTTCCTACTGCAATAGTGCAATAAGAGACAAAAACCGACACTCAACAAAATAAGACGTACCAGCAGAGAAACGAAGAGAGATTGAATGCTTTACATTTATGTGCTGGCAGACTGCACATCCGACAGTAAAGTAACACTTCTAATAGGCTTGCTTTAACAGTTAGAAATACGGGTATGACCACAGTGTGAAAGTTCGAGGTTGTATCTAAAAGATTTGATGTAGTGGGAATCTGTAATACTGGATAATATGAACAGAACAGGATACAAAAATATACATTGGTCTAATTAATTTATGGTTCTTGCTGGCTTAACAAGATACACTGAAGTATTTGTAGGGAAGTCGTTTTCATGGGTTTAAGTTCTTCCCTACACTTTTTGTTAAGAATGAATACTAGTCAACAGGCTTATACTCTGTTTAGTGGAAATGGAGTTTGTTGAAGGAGAAGTCGATAACTACTCAACTAGTATAAGAATTTCGTGCCTTTCATGAAACCAGAATGTTCGTTATTCTGTACAACAATCACAACATTGGACCATATCCCGATCCTGATAAATGTGATTCTCACATGCATTCGTTGAAGTTACATTTTAATATTACCCTCNGTGATTCTCACACGTTAGAAAGTGAATAGTGCAGCGGACCAGAATGAGACAATTCGAAATTCTCACATGTATTCGTTGAAGTTACATTTTAATATTACCCTCCCATCTATGCCTGTTATTCCTAGTGGTACCTTCGCTTCATATTTTTCGAGTAAAATTTGATTTGCGTGTTTCCATTCTCTTCCCCCCCCCACCGCTTTGTTTAAATCTGTACCGGACGAAATTATTGGCAAACATGCAACGAAGTTGCACGATGCTGCTAGTTCACACTAACCGTCTGCAAAGCTGGCTGTGTAGGAAATAGGCGACAGCGGATGAATTTAAACGGAGCATTCATATGTGAAACGGCGATGCGTCTCGTAATTATCTTGTCGATCGCTCATTTCTCTGAACTGTGGTCTTCAGTCGCGCGCGGACTGCTTCCCAGCCGCTCCCTACCCGCCAACGGAACGAAGAGAATGAACTCCGCTCTGTGTCGCGTCGCGTGATAAATACAAAATTATGTACATAAGAGGCGTACAGGCATGGGAGCAGGAACGAACGTTTTCTGGGGCAGTAGTCAGAAAATAAACTTAAACACGCTTAAGACTAAGTATTCAGGACTGAAGAATATTCCTTAAAGTAATTTTTTATTGTTAACATTCGGTAATTTCCTTTTTTTATTTAATCCTGTTTCTTTCAATCCGAGGGGTGAGGGACTACTGTTCCCCCGCCAGCCGATTCTCATGAGCATTAAGCATATATATGTCCAGTCTCTTTTCGGATTTTTTCGGGTTTATGTACGTCCGAACAAGCCGTTCATTCAGGTTCCATTTCTTTTACAACATGTAACCCTTAACTTTATGTAAGCTCCTCTTCTACCTATAATTTCAAAAGAGCACGAAATTAACTCGTTCAATTTTACATAATAATGCTTGTTATGCAAGTGTTTACACCCTTCGTATATTTGAATATTTTGTTTTAAATCTGATATTTTATATATGCATATTAATTTTGCTATTCTGCGCTGTTAATTCAAGTTGAATTATGCAAGTAACAGAATGTGCACTTTATCTCTCGAAGAAACATTTCCTGCCCCCCTCCCCCCTGGAATGAGAGTGTAATACAGAGAATTAAGAATAGTCTTCAAACAGATTATCGTTAATATCTCCTTGAACTAAATCGACAAATATTCTAAACAATTTCACAGGTGTAACTTTTGCCGCTACTGCAGTACGCGATAGGGTTGAACCTCGCCTCTACGCCTGCGAAACTTACGTTGAAATCTCAACATTGCTCTCTTGCTTGTTTAATTAAGAGTGCAAATTAAATTCACTCTCCATGTAACCACGTGTCACAGAGAGGACTGCATCAGCAATTTAATCAATATTTCATTACTGTTCTTTTTTGTGCGCAGTGGACAAGAAATGAACCCGGTGGTTTCCAATGGAATGAATTCCAGCAGAATTAGGTAGCGTGCATAAGGATCTGAAGAGGGCGGAGAACAACACATGCTATTAAAATATTGGCATATTTTTGTGTCTATTGTAGTCTTAATTCCTAACCAACCTCATTATTCGTGGCGATGCTTACAGCAGTTTTTAAGTTGACACTGCGATTTTAAACAGAAGGAAAGGTCTGGGTGAAATGAACACCAGGAATATCTAATCACTATCCGCTTACCCCAGCTGGCTCCGGTACGGCCCAGGAATTGATGTGTTTCAGAATTCCAGATGAAAATCCTGAATCCTTCCCATTTTCCCAGTTTGGGTGGCGGTGTGTAATACTGCTCAGCTTTCTTCTCTGCCATGGTTGCACTCTATGAAGTGGTAAAGTACCCTCCCTGTGGGCTCTCACAGGTGCAAAGAGGGCCGAAACGCTAAAGCTTCGTCGGGATATTGCAACTCCAGAACTGGCCGGCGAGCCTCTGGAGATCGGCGCTTTATCCAGGAGGATGCGCGAATCGTGACGTACTTCCTTTCTTATCGATCGGTTCCTTTGATGACAGTTCAAGCTGAATGCACTGCCATCTCCATCTCTTGACAAGTAATCGTATTAAGTGGACGATTCCTCTTCAGCTCGTAAGTAGAGAAAGGACATTCGTGCAAGCCCCTTCCAATATGCGAAATTCTATTACTTTACCTCCGTACCACGTTTAAGACTACAGGTGAGTTGGCTGGGTAGCGCGACAAATAACTTCACGCCGGTCTTGCATCTAGCGAATTTAATGAACACTTTTATCCACACATACCCAATTCACAACTTCAGTGTTCCAATCACTTCTTCTGCTATAGTCACTTCCAGACTTCAACTGTCTATGGCGGCTGCTATATTTCAACTGACCTTCCATTCTTATTATTTTTTTTTGCACTTCCTGTCAAAGTCAAAGTCAAAGTTACTTTGCGACTAACGGTAAGTCAGTCAGTAAGTCTTGGTGTCGAGCCCCATATGAGGCTCATGACCAGATATTAATTATTACTGTTTGACAGTTACGGTCTTATTTTTGTGGGGTGCCCTCTCTGACGAGAGGACGGGTCTGTCTTTTGTATATGCTGCTGGCCCTTGCCAGCGCAGTCTTACTCGGGTCCGAGTCCCTTGGGACTTGCGACCATATTTTACTGTCTCGGAATTGAGACTTCCCTTTTCGTCGCCTCCTACGACTCGCAGGGTCACGGTGGAGGTATTCGACCCCGCCTCCACACGGGGTTGTACTTCCTGGTGCATTCACCCCCTTACATAGGCCTTTCGCGGATCACACAGAAAACAGCCTATATTGTTGAACGTGTTTACCGACCGATTGCCTAGCAACGATCGCTGCACGGATTCCACTGTTACGTGACGTCACAGCCTAGTAGCATTGCTTAATTCATTTAGTACAAGGGCAGCTTTGCCTTTTTAGGAGCTGGACAATTGACAGTATAATAGCAATTAAACTTACAAACACATGACTTCAGGTGCATTTAAGGGCTTAAAGTAACAATTTACTGCCTCAGATCCATATGCCTTCGGCCTCTCCAACACTTTGATCGCGGGTTCGAATCATTCTCGCAAGGAATGCCCATGTTTTCTCTGTTTGTAGAGGTTTTGCGATGGGCTGATACCCGTTTATGGCTCCTATAAAATGTCTGAAATGGATTCATATTTTCAAAAGTTAATTCTGAGCTGGAACAGTACTAATGAAATTTATTCATCTTTGTCAGAATGAACTCTATTTACAGCCAACCTGTCTTATATGGGTTACCCTACCAGGAGTCCGCGCTCCCGCCAAGCATAGCTCTCCAGGTGATCAAGGCACAAACCTTGCCACCACGTCAGTACAGTAGCCCAAGAGGAGGATGTCTGGATCCTCCCTTTCCCTATATCAATTCAACTTTTATAAGTTAGGCTTACTTTTCAACAGTGAAGACCGAGGCAGCCGGTTTCCCCGAAATGTTGATAACTTTTTCAGAGTTTACGGCGTCACATCCTAGGATACAGCAATCTTTGTGTTGCATGTTACATGCTTAACAGTTCACCAAAGCACGGGTTCCCATTACATGCCGTAATTCTTGTAATTTCTTTCATCCCCACGCCTCGTGCTTCATGCTCTACGCTTCCTGAGTATGCAACCTTTTTATGATTTGTGATACAAGACTTCCTGCTGGTCTGACCGCATACAGTGACGCGCTGGAGGAAAACAGGCTTCAGAAATTCTTAGAAATTCTCGTGGTATTGTGTCAGTAGTTTGAATCATTTCATGTTTTGATCTTAATTTTGTTTTATATCTATTTCGTCATCAGACTTGTCTAGAACTATAACACACATTTCTAGTCCACTGCACAGAGTCGTTAATTGTGTATGGAACCCGAAGTCCCATTGCTGTGATCACAGGGGCCCAAACTGCATCACATCCTGAGCCACTTGAATTCAATTCCACACTTACATATGCTTATTTAGGCTTAATTTTAATATTATCCTCCAATCTGCTCTTAAATTTTTCAAATGGTCTCTTACTTTAGATTTTATGGCTGAAATGTTCTGTGCATTTCTAATCCCCTGCATACGCACTACATGATCCGCATGTTTCGTCATAACGCCCTGTAAAATTGGGGAACCCGGTAGCATAGTTGGTTGAGGCACTGTGCTACAACCTGGAAGGTCGCGGGATCGAATCCCGATGAGGTGGATTCTTTCAATTTACCTAATCCTTCCAGCCGCACTATGTCCCTGAGGTCGACTCAGTCTCTAACAGAAATGAGTACCAGGGATATTGCTGGGGGTAAAGGGCAGCCGGTGCGTAAGGCTGACAACCTAACTGCCATCTGTGAGCCGATTTTCTATAAAATATGGGAGCCTCAACGTCACACAACCCTACGGGCCTCCACGGCCTGTTACAGGGATAGCTTTACCCTTTACCCTGTAAAGTTATATGGTAAAGAGCACAAATTATTAAACTTCTCACAACATAATTTCCTCGAAATGAAATTAATACCTGTAGAGGCTTAATTTTGTTCGAGAATTCTCAACTGACGACTCACCTCTATCTCGTGCCAATGATAATTGCATGTACAAACTATTTGAACATTAAACACTCGGAAATTTTCCCGCAGAAAGTATTGAGGTGTATTTAGAGGGACGTCATATTTCGAACGGCTAATTAATTAATTCATTCTTCTCACCACTGTTCGTGGTAATAAGAATCTTTTTCTTAGTTTCACGCTTTTTGAAGTCGGGCTGTGGACTGTTTCTATTTCTTCTTATCCCACGTCCTCCTCCACGCTGGAAATGTGTAATATTTTGGTTATGTAACGACGGCTTCAACTCCAAAGATGCCGAACTCTGGGGCCAGTGATTCATCAGTTCCCCTTTATCCAGGTACATCTAAATTTTTCATATGTGCATTGATCGTATCAATATTGGGCGGTTAGTTGTCCGTGTCTCATTCTTGACACGTGGATTCAATCCGAGCACAGTCCATAAGGAATTTGTACTGGGCAGTGTGACGCGGGCAGATCACAGTGGCCGTGAGGTCTAAGACATGCATTGTCTTCGACCGCTCAAGCATTGGAGTCGTGGTTTCGGATCCCACTCAGGGTATGGATGTTTTCATTCATTGTGTTTTTGTTGTCCTGTGTAGGTAGCGGCCTTGAGGCAGCTGATCCCACGCCCAAGGTGCCTACCGACTGTCTATATGATTAGTTTTCTTTTTTTAAGTTTTCGTGGAGGTGGAGTGAGACTGAGTCACTTGGTACGTCGGCCACGAATTGGTCTATTCTGCCAGACCAGGATGATAGATGATGATAATGTGGAACAGTCGGTGCAATGAGAATTGACAAGGGAAACCGAAGTACTCAGAGAAAACCTGCGACACTGCCACTTTTTCCACTACAAATCCAACATGGACTGACCTGGACTCGAATCCGGGCCCCCGCGGTGGGAAGCCGGCAACTAACCGCCTGAGCTATGGGACGGCCGTCTATATGATTAAGAAACAGAGGCCAAGGTCCGTCATAAACTGTAACGCCCACATAGTAAGTAAAAAAAGTAAAAAGTAGAGGTATCCCTGTAACAGGCCGTGGAGGCCCATAGGGTTGTGAGATGTTGAGGCTTCCACATTTTCTAGACAGTCGGTTCACAGATGGGCGCAAGGTTGTCAGCCTCATGCGCCGGCCGCCCTTTACCCCCAAGAATATTCCAAGAATATTCCTGGTACTCATTTCTGTTAGAGGATGAGTCGACCCCAGGGCCATAGTGTGGTAGCGTAGTTGGTTGAGGCATTATGCTACAAGCCGGAAGGTGGTGGGTTCAAGTCCCGATGAGGTCATTGGATTTTTTTCAGCTGACCTAATCTTTCCGGCCACAATATGACACTAACGCCCACAGAGTAGTAATAGTAATATAGTAGTAGAGTGACACTGATCCCAGCCCTAATCACCGGTCCAGAAATGTCCCATCTTCATCTTCAGATACTAGCATTACAGGACCATTTGAAGCCGTACCCGGCTTCTATCATAATTTTCCACCTCCTTAGCATACTAAGAAAACTCTCAAGTAGGCCTACATTACTCATTTCACCATTACTGATCATACTGGTAACCGCCTACAAAGATACGTGGTGCCATAATACTGAAGGTGGAGGCAGCATGTTGGTTACCACCTGAGAAACCACATGGTGTTATGACCCACAAGACAATCTTAGCTTTCAATGAATCTTTGTGAATTAGGTAGCGACAGTTTAAAGTGAACCGATTCGAGATGTTTCAAGACCATGTTATGTGACAGTAATGAAATTGTCGAGTCCCATAACACCAGGCAGTTCTGATACGAAATATAGAATATCTCTTCGTAAAATGTCCAAACCCATGAAATCATTCTTACTTCAAATCATATGTTACAGAAATGTCGCCTGTAATATAACCCTAAAATAAATGAATAGAATTTCGTAACCGTAGTTGGATGAGGAGGCCAATCACAGTGGCCGTGCCATTCAATATTTCTGAGGGGGGGAAACCTTAGGGGATCTCCCGATCTTCTCAGGGATCATGCTTGCGGGGATCTCCCCGATCAGGAGGATACAAGGACAGAGGTTCGGGAATGGATAATTGTACTTGAATACTTCGTGGCCAGCTTTAAATACTTAGTTCGAACCTCACAGGAAACACCAATGTGTGCCTCGTTTCCGTTACTACAGTAGGCACTAGGCAATCGAACAATGACGGTCCCTATCTGCTTGTACTAAACCACTATCAGAACCACAGATGAGTTCGGTCTTTGAGGAAGAGTCGTAGATCTTCTCAGCGGTTCAGTGCTAACGTGGATGTGGGGGGGTCCTAAAAGTCACATCGCATAGGTAGCGCTGTTTTATTCTGCCGGATCAGTATGAAGTTTATAATTTTAATTGGGAGCCTAGATAACAAAATATGAATTCTAATATAGACGTCTTCAGGGCAGTT